TTAGCGTAGCGCTTCCAGCGTACGCCAGCGGCAGTGCCGAAGAGAGGATGCATATCGATCTAGCTTCACCAGCGTCACCAGCGGCACGCTGGCGTACGCTAGCGTGCGCTAGCGGCACGCTAGCGTACGCGTAGGCCCGTATGTTCGAGGGGCACGGGAAGCATAGCTATCGATCTAGCTTCACCAGCGTTTCTCCAGCGTTTTCCCAGCGCTTCCAGCGACGGGGCTAGAGAGGGGCTAGAGAGCACTGGACGGAGGAGAGTACAAAGTACTCTCCTCCGTTCAGTGCTCTCTAGCCCCTCTCTAGCCCCGTCGCTGCAAGCGCTAGCGGGGCTAGAGAGCACTGAACGGAGGAGAGTACTTTGTACTCTCCTCCGTCCAGTGCTCTCTAGCCCCTCTCTAGCCCCGTCGCTGGAAGCGCTGGGAAAACGCTGGAGAAACGCTGGTGAAGCTAGATCGATAGCTATGCTTCCCGTGCCCTCGCTACGCCAGCGTGCGCTAGCGTGCCGCTGGCGTACGCTAGCGTGCCGCTAGCGCACGCTAGCGTACGCCAGCGTGCCGCTGGTGACGCTGGTGAAGCTAGATCGATATGCATCCTCTCTTCGGCACTGCCGCTGGCGTACGCTGGAAGCGCTACGCTACGCTGCCGCAAAGTATAAACGCAGCCTAAAAAGAGCCTTGCTCAAAGCTTTGAGCATTTTGATTCCTACAGCTATGCTCCATTCTATTCATACAATACGAGTTTTGCCAGCCACTGTTCCAACAACTAACACCACCACTACAGTATGAGCTATTGCTAAGCATGGCGCCAGGGTGCTCTAAAACATCACCTCATCTATCACCTTTTCTCCTCACTCCATGAGGAAGATCAGTAGCTGAAAGGGCTGGGGGAGAAAAGGGAGGAATGCTATACATCCACACGAAAATTGTGAAGAGATCTCTCATTTCCCTCCTTAAAATAGTCAGCAAACCCGTTACGACTACTCTCGCACAACGACTAAAATACAACCCCATCGAGTATTTCCTCTCACGTGATGATGTGTTTTTTTCTGAACGGGATATCCATGGACCATTTGATTTGCGTCGCCAGGTGTCAAAAAGGCAGAGGGCGGTCGGCGAGAGTGCATTCGTTTGCGAACATCTTAGACTCAATAAAAGCGGGCTTCCTGCAGTTGACACTGGCACCATCCTTAGCACGAGCCAGATGTCTCAGGTGACTATCACCCTCGCTAAAGATAGCTGCAAACCCATTTCGGTTCGTGAATCGGTCAGAGTTGCGAAAAAACATGAACATTTTCGACCAGAAGTCGATATTTCACAAAGGTTCTCACCTTGACGTTTGCCAAACGGTGTCTCTATAACGGTATCCACTCCGATTTCATTTTCACGTATCCATGGTATCAAGTCGCCGGGTGCAGATGTTGACACTCTTGACGAACCCTTTGACTCGATTTCTGGTATCCGCTCGCCAAAACGTCTCTGCATCACGCCCAATCCAATTACCCCAAGTTCTTTGTGAGGGGCACGCACCAGATCGAATTCGAAATGACGAAAGTTCACTGCAAAACATCGGCCAGTGAAATCGAGAAAATGCTTCATGGAGGCAAAATTCGTGCTCCTTCTCAACGCTACTGTAATACTTCTGATTTCATTCGCTACTGATCACTGGATTTTGCTAAGAATACGGGCAGGTGAGGTCTACAATTGTCAACTACCAATGTCAGCTTTTCAATACTGCACAAGCATTGCCTATTTATGGTGAAAGGTCCTAATTTAGGACGGACTCTGAAATTCCACACCTCAGCGTGTGCTACCCTTTACATCGCCCCAGTGCGGGCGCCATATCTTACCCTTACTCAAGTCTGATAGCATTTATGCCAGCCTTACAACACTATCCACTATGAATAAAAAAAATTTAACTTCTTCTTTTTCTCAGGTTTTTCTATAGAAATGGTTGGGCCTGAGAAGAGAAAAACAATAAAAATGAAATTCTGCTCCAAAAGGCAGCCCTCAAAACTCTCTGTCATGTATTCTTCAAGCTTCCTTAACACTATTCGAGGCGGAAGGGCATTTTCGCCAGAACTCACCGTTCGTCGCGTTGTTTTTAGTTTATTTTTTACAATTTTTTTTCTTCGCATTGTTGGGTTGATTGTGTTAATGTATGCTAGTAGAATACAATCAGCCGCAGAAAGAACAAAAAAATATGCGCGTGTTTTCGCAATACTGTACGAATGCAACCGGATAACGGGGTTTCCGCCGTGCCTCACTCCCGGGTTCAGTGGTCTACCGTTTTTTCCTCGGATTTTCCAATACGTTTTTTTCGTGGTTTTCGTGTGTAAGTCCTTGCGGAGACTTTTGGCTCCGAATGATACTAAATAATAATTTCAAGGCCTTCTTCTCGTTCTTACACCATAGATTTCCATTTTTCCGCATACGACGCTGTCTGCAGCCCTATGTTTAATCGCTTAGCGATGTCTGTTTTCGTATACAGCCGAGTCTGGCGATTAGCCTTCAGGCTTCGTCTACCTAGCATCTGAAGATTCTAACAAGAGCCGAGATTACCTTTGACCCGGTGCTTGTCCTTTTTCACCTGAACCACTTAACCTCTTAAATTCAAATTATCTTCGCAGTGTCAAATAGTGTTGTCAAGGGTTTCAGTTGATGGTTCATAAACTTTGTTGTAAATTTTATATTAGTTTTGAGTAACATGTCGTTGAGCATGTAATAAATAAAATAAAACAAAAATCTCTCATCGACCAGTAATTTGGCACAACGACCTATTTTCTACAAAACCGTTACTGTTTAGCGATTTACTGTGATTACACGGCTTCGGCACGTGCAATTCGCCCAATTGAAGACTATATTATGGAGCATGTGTTGCCGCTATATGGTAACACTCACAGTTCGGTGACGGTGACATCAGAACAGACGACCCTGTTTGTTCATGAGGCCAGGTACAATAGCAGATTTCGAGGTTCTGTGTGGACAGTACTTGTAGTGATATGATGACAACATTGAAGTGTCACTTATAGGCAGGAAATTCGTGCTATGACTGGGGCTGGTGACGGCGACAGCGTGATGTTCGTCGGTTCGGGCAGCACGGCAGCTGTTGAATTGCTTGTCCATCTGATGCAACCTGAAAATCTGGTATTGTTTTCATTTGTCTCAGGTTATCTGTCTGGGTATATGTATCATGTCTGCTTTATCGGGTGCATGGTTTCTATGGAGGAAGGTGGGGACGGGGAGGGGAATGAGAGGCACGCGGCTACAAAAGTAGCTCCTCTGCGGGCCAGTTTCGAGTGCCCGCCAGTTCTGGAGCTAAAGGAGGACGGGATAAACATCTCCATCAGAGGATGCTAACGACAAGTGTAGACGCGCCACCGTGTGCACCCTCCAACCCACACCAACTACGCTAACCCCATCAATTTTCTTCAAAAAATGTTCCGGACTAGCAAGGGAAACTGATATGGAGGAAGTTGTTTTCCGTAAAATGGTAGTCTTTGGTACATCACCACCATATTCTAAGAACAAGGCTGTGGCGAGAGATAAAAGGGGCCCATCGCACGTTGGGAACTCCCAGCGAAAGAGCTGCATTTCTTCGCTGAAGATGGGGTCGTATTAGCGCTTGAGAAATCTGTAGGCTTTTCTCGGTTCGGTAAGGTAAGGTTGAGTTTCATGTACACTATGCCCTCTTCCGCATAGTGTACATGAAACTGATGGTGGGATTGCTAAGATTAAGATGTGAAATTTTCGAGTTGGGGGAGGTCGTAATTTGCAAAATTTCTCTTTTACCGCAGTCCTCAGAAATTTCATCTCGCTCGGTATAGAGTGCTCTGGCCACAGTCCTCAGAAATTTCATGCTCGATCGGTTTATTCTTGAGTTTCCGAGGTAAGTCATGACAACAGCGGGGTTGGACTGTGAACTGTTGTGTACAGCTAGATTAAGCCGTCGCGACAGCTATCTATCTGTCGCGACGATAGCTGTACACATCTATCTATCTGTAACTAAGGCCACTACTCAAAAAAATATTTTTTCAGGTCCTTTTATGTATAGTTTTTCTTTCATTCTGTGTCTCTGATTACAGGTGGTGATTTTATCTGTTCACGAGCACCACTCAAACATGCTACCGTGGCGTACAGTTGCGGAAGCTTGTTACTATGTACAGGAGTCCAGCGACGGTGGCATCGATCTAGGTAGGGTTTTACCGTCATTGACTTTAGTATTAGGTTGTCCGGAAAGTTCTCAGCGTTTTGGGTGTTTCACTTTAAACGATCGTAACTTTTTTAATACTCATCGGATTTAATCGAAATAGGCAACGCCATTCGATCCGTCACAACCTTATTCGCAATGTGAGAACAGCAGTACGGGAAATTCAGTCAATAAGGGAAAAAACTAGGTGGATTCAGGCAAATACCAGAAACGACGAAATGAAATCTACGAAGGTCTTTTTTGCCTGGTCCTAATTGATGAAGTATTTTTCAGCAAGGAAGTTCTGAAAATGTTTGAAAAGGTGATAGTCGGTTGGTGAAAGGTCTGGAGAATATGGCGGGTGAGGTAGAACTTCAACCCCCAATTCGTTCAATTTATGGATAGTGATTTGTGCGAACGTGTGGGCGGTTGCAGTTGTCCATGCAAAAAGAATCGGACCTTTCCTTTTGAGTAAAGTGTATGGCTTGCAATGCTGACAAAATTTTAGTGTACGATTCGAGCTGCGATTTCTTCAGAGCTAAGGGTTCTGACGCTGTGACTGGTTTGGCCTGGTGATCAAAAAGTATAGTGGATACACACCAGCCGATTGTCTATCTGCTATGACGCACCAACACGTGACCAGAATCTTTTTTCGTGAGGGTTCGGCTTTGAAAATTACCTCGGTGGTTCGTCGAAATCCAACCACTGTCCGAACGTCTCCTGTTATCATACATGCATCCATTTTCATACACAGTGACAATTCTGTCCAAAAACGGGTCATTTCTGTTGCGTAAAAGCAGTGAAGAAGGAACCTCGACACGTGCCGATTCCTGCTGGTCACTCCGATTGTGGGGCACCCAATTGTCGAGTTTTTTCACCTTCCCAATGCGTTCCAGACCATCTGCAACAGTGGATTTGCAAACGCCTAGCTCTTCTGCTATCTCTCGAACTGTTTGGGATAGATCAGCCTCCGAAATCCCCCAAAATCCTCGTCAGATATTGCTTTAGGTCGACCGCTATGAGGTTCACCTTCAAGGCTGAAATCTCCAGAACGAAATTTGTTGAGCCATTGCCGCACAGTGCTTTCTCTAGCACTATTGGGCCCCCACACCTGGTTAATTTGTTGAGCTGTTTCGATTGCGGATTGCCCCAATTTATAGTCGAAGAAAAAAATCGTCCGAAGTGCTCTTTTCACATGCTTCAAAAAGTCTTCGAAAAAAGGGGGTTTATCAAGCAATGGTGAAACGGCAATTATACCATCAGATAGCGCAAGAAATTCTCTACAGGATGTGCTGCTGAGAAGCAAGAGAGAATGAGTTTTTAATCAGCAGTGAATGTACAAAAAATAGGTGCACAAAACGCTGAGAACTTTCCGGACAACCTAATATCTACTGGCGCCGTTTCAAGCGGCAGGGTAGAAGGGCAACGGTTGACACTGTAAGATCCATTCTGACGCTACTTTTTTGAATTCATCTGCGTTCGAGTCCCGGTTTCTGCACAAACGTATCTGTAGGATTGGAAGGGGCACTTGTCAGACCAAACTGTCTGTCTCCTTTCCCTCACTTAGGCTAAGGCTTAGAGTGCAGACGCTCAGAGTCGCGTAGATATTGTCTGCTATGCGAAAGTAGCCCATGGCAATTCTGACCGCAGCGTCTGCACTGTGAGCCTAAGGATGGCACAGAAGCGCTGAGGAGAGTTCCAAATACGTCAATGCTCCAACTTCTTGTCATATTAGTTATAGAATGATTATAATTGCAAATATTTTGTAAACAACTCCATAGTGATATTTACGAGAAAAGCTTGAGCTGCTTTTTTCAGCTTGACCTAGTTCAGTTTCTGAGGAAGCTCATCGATCTTGTGACCATCCTCAGTCCCAGCTTTTGGCAGCTTTCACTGCATGTTCGAATATTACGGGTATCTTTATGGATGTACCCTCTAATAAGCGCCACGCTTAAGAGGTATGTTGTTTGACTAGTTCAGCGGTGCACAACATGGAGGCAATGTGTTCAGGCAGTTGTCCCTACTTTGCTTACAATGCCACTTTTCCAATCGGAGTGCATATGTTGGAGATCCCCTGCGAGTGGGGGGGGGTCGTATTTAGTCGGCCTCAGTCGCGCAATGCGGCAAGTTGCTTTTACCGTCAAGTATGACCGCAGCCTGAGAGATATGATTGGCTACTTATTACCGAGAATCACCAGTGCTCATCTAAGCCATAAACCCGGCGGAATAGTGATCCTTTGTTCCTATCGCTTCTTCTAGGGAAGCTACTCTAGCCCCCTTGGAATCCCAAACTGTGAGACAAGTTAAGTGTGCGTTCTTCATGTTAAGAGCGACAAATCGCGGAGACTGAAGTCTGAACACAGCCCAATCGTTTTCTGGGTCTTGGAGCCCAGGCGATTTCTGGGTCTTGGTTCGATTCTTGAACCTCCTTCTCAGTTCCAATGCAGTACTGAAAAATTCTGGTGGAAGTACAGTGAAGAACTGAAGAGTTTCTATGTTCATTGACGGTAAGGTGTTTCATTTCGCAACTTCAGGTATAATGCGCTAAGTGTTTGGGATTATGCATCGTCAGCTCCATATGTTGAGATCAACGTCAATGGTTCTCATCCGGTTGACGCCGTTTTCTTTTCTGGACACAAATTCGTGGGCGGGGTCTCCACACCTGGTAAGTTCTTCCGGTAACCTTTTGAGTTGTTATTTTTCTTAACCCCTCATAACTTTCCATAGGTTCTTTATTGCAAAATGTATTTTGAAGCTCTTTGTGGTTTGATTGTTCTTCTATGTCTGAAAATATATTGTTTTTTTCGGAGTAGATATATATCCTACTGTCGAAAGAAGGTCAGCTAGTTGTGCGGAAGGGGAGCGCATTCTAGCACGTCCATGGCCAGAAAGGGGCTAAAATGGAAAGGAATGCGTACACATAACGCACATTGCACGGTGATGGGTTGGGCGGGAACGCAGGAGCGTTCTCCATTCCTCTTGCTGCTCTCCTTCTGTCTGTCCTTTCGGAAGAAGGGGCACGCGAACGGGGCGGGCGGAATGGCTGAGTGTTAGCGCCCTTCTGGTTACTGTGCAGTCCTTAATCTATACTGTTCACCATTTTTATGCATCTGATATATTGTACGTATAGGTAA